AGCAGCAGCTGTCGGTAGGGGTTTTGGAGCACCCAACGCCCCTTTTTTTGCTCCACAAGACGATCCATTGTGTGAGCCGTTGGCATCGTGTGGCAAAGATCCAACTGGGACGCGGTGAGGTGCAGTAAATGATCCACAACACGCCGGCGTGGAATGGATAACTCGTAGCGAAGTATTGCCTGCTCACGATCCATTGCGGCCCTCTGCTCCTTCTCGCGTTCATGGGAACGAGGAGAACCCCCCTGTAGCCTCCTTTTTTCTTTCGTGTTTGTCTCCCACTCATGACGGGCAATCTTTCGGTTCATGATGTAACAGGAGCAGGAGGAGCTGCCAGGCCCAGCCGCGCAAATGTGTGGGGCTGAGACGGCAGCAGCGGCAGCGGCATCGCCATGCCCGCACCCCACCTCTTGTGCGAGCTGCCACTGTTTGCTCAGTCGCATGTCCGGTAGCAGCGTTCCATCGGCGCAGCGCACAGGGGGACACGTCCACGGCGCCGGCGACGAACGACCCCTCGCAAAGAGTCGCTGCACCGCAGCCTTGTTGCGTTCCCTCGCCGTCGCGTTTGTCATGAGCGTGCAATCTTCCTGTCCCACGAGGAGAAGCCGCGTGGGTGTCCAGAAATGCGTCCACGGTCTTCCTCTTCCCGCCTTGAATTCCTCCAAGCGACGACTACACGTCAAGGAGGTCCTTCCGCGCGTTATCTACGATCAATCGGAGAAAACAGAGACGTAAAAAAAGGGGGAAAAAAGCAAACGGCACAACAGAGGCATTTTGAACCAACAGAAGCTGCAAAGCAGCCGGGCGCAGATGCCCGCCAGCCCCCCGCTCCCTCCCTCCCGCAGAGGCCAACAGGCGGCACCGCCCATGCGCCGGAGACCGATGCGTGGCCCCCGCCATTGTTTCACTGAGTGTTTCGTCATGTGTGGCGTGTCTACCTCCCCCACTTTTTTTTTCTTTTCCCCCTCACGTTCCTGCTCTCTTCTCCCCTTCCCTTTCGCCCCGCGTGTCATCGCAGCGCCCCCAACGCTCCCCCTCTCCCGTTCTGCCCGCCCACCCGCGGAAGAATGCATCCCACACAACCCGTGAGTTGGACGTAAGGCTTCAAAAGGTTCCAAATGCCCATGCACGCACACACTAGCCACACGCATACATACATACCGACGCACACACGCTGCCACCATGTCCCCAATGTCAATGTCGCATCGCAATTCACGCACCGCACCGCCAACCGCGGAAACTGAAAACAACAAGAACACGGACACACAAACAAAAAAAAAAAAAAAGGGAAACCAAAAAAAAAAAAAAAAAACAAGAGAGGAGAAGGCGATGTTCATAAAACACATCCACAATAATAATAATAATAATAATGACAATAACTACATGGGTGAAAGAATGAAAAAGTAAGTATGTAAAAAGAAAAAAAAAAAAAAAAAGAATCCACACGCCATCCACCACATGCAGCACACACAGAAAAAAAAAAAATTTACACGCATGTACTCAACATGGCAACTTCCTCTTCGTCCCCACTCTCCTATCCACTAATGCTAAAAACTACAATCCCCCCAGTACTACGAAGTGAACTGCCTGCACACACACACACACGCACGGGGAGAGAAAGGGAAAGAGAGAGTTACACGCACATAAACAAATATTTGTGTATACCCCCCTCCCCCTCCCCAACGAAGAGAACGGCAAAAAAAAAAAACAACTCACAGAGCGAATTACAAAAAAAAAAAAAAAAACCTCCAACCAAAAGAAAAAAACAAACCCAAGCACATACACACGACGGCCCTGCAGAACCCCTCAACAAAATGCTTCGGGCTTAGACGCTCAAGGAGGAACGCGGAACCAATCACCCTCATCTTGGCGGCAAAAGCAGCTGCAGCAGCTGACGAGAATTAATATGCACCAGAAGTCCCCCTCTCGTTGTTCCTTCCCCCTCCCCCTGCTGTCGTCTGTATGTGTATGAGTGTTTATGCACCCTCCGTCTCTTCGCTTCGTCTACTCCCCTTCCCCTCCTCTTTTTTTTTTCCCCCATCCTCTCCCCGCCTGTCTTCCTCCCGCCCATCGTGTTCTTCACAGTTGCTTCTATTCCCACCACTCCCCGCATGCCCTCCCATTACAACAACAGATGGAAAACATATATATATATATATATATATATATATTAATAAAAAAGAATTTTTTTTACTAAATCCCGCATCCCACACCCTCTCCATTTCACCCCTCCTCTTCCTGCTGTTGCCCTCCACTACTACTAACATCACAAAATGCTAAAAAGAAAAAACCCTCTCCCCATAAATAAATATATATATATATTTATATATTTATATCTATATAAAGCCAACATCAACAGGAACACAAATACACAGTCCTCTATCGGGCCTGATAAATTTTCATTTTCTCTGTCTGCTTGCTTTATCCACCCATGTCTTTCAAGGAAATAAAATAAATAAATAAATAAAATAAATAAATAAAGTATAAATATATATTATTATAATTATTTAAAAAAGCAAGGTAAAAAACAAAACAAAGAAAAAGAAAAAATAAGTAACCAAATCAATGACTCAAAGATAATTCCTTTCGCTTGCTTGATCCCTCACTCCCCCCTTTTTTTCTCTGTATGCTCACCTGGCTCACGCCATTGGTTTGGCGGAGGGCTTGTCCATGGTGGACGAACGCATCTGTGCGTTCAGAACCTGCGGCATCTCCCATAAATCATTTTTCCTAAGGTACGGCTTGTCATTATACGCCTGCGGGGCCTTTTGCCAGTTGAAGTAGGGATTTGGCAACCGCAAAGCGAAGCGAGCCAGCGGTAGATTCTCATGAACCGCATTCTCCCATATGGTGTCCTGCATTGTGCCACTGGTGATGCGAAAATAGCGAAACTGTGCAGCACTAGCGTTTCGATTTGTGTCGGGATCTACGCGGTGCGCTAAGACCGGCATCAGCGATCCCCAGTTGGCCTGACGGTTAATCTCCTTGTTCGCCTCGAAACTGTAAAAGAGCCGATTACCCGAGAAGATATACTGCCGTGCGTATTCGTACTGGAGACCCGCCGCGAGCAACAAAGTAAACCAAAAATTTGCCTTTTTCCAGCGCCCCATAAAGAAGGCGTAACCTAGCGGAGGAAATATGCTCGCGACGGCACGGGCCATGTAGCATGACTGACCGTCACTCCATGCCATCTTCCAGCCGTTCAAACTCGGGTCGCGAATGCGGAAGGGCCATGGACCGTGTGTATAAAGCCACTCATACGAGTAAAAATACCCTCCAATCCCAATCAGACCAGCGATGTTGACTCGCGCCACTCCCAATAAAAGTGCTAGGTTCCACGCAAACTTCGTCCGTGGGTTGCCTACAGCGCCAAACGAGTTTGCCGAACGGGCCAGAAACCAGTTAACAAACCAGATGTTGAGGCCTCCCATCCACCATTTAACACATTCATACGTATGCATCGAGTCCGTGTATGGCACCTCCTCCTTCACCCCCGTAAAGGCGTTCATGGAGATGAAGCCATATGGGAGTTTTTGCACGCCCATTTTCCGCACTTGGTGCGTCTCA